AAATGTATGTACGCATGTTGTTTGACGTCCCATTCGAGAAATTTTAACTCAGATACAAACGTTATGGTAAATCGCTGAAGGGCTGTACTTTGACCTAAAAAAGACATCCAGGGTCATTAAGCAAAAACTTTTATAATGCAGATTGACATTATTGAATAGGTTTAATATGTTGCATGTTTTTTTTTAAAAATGTTATTACAATTAAAAAAAAAAACAAAAACAAAAGAAGATATATAAATAAAACAGAGGTGACAAACTCTATTCTGCTTTTTTTAAATTCTGCGTTCAGCGGGATATTAGTATATTGAATCCTAACATGGTTGACACGTGTAATCTGCATTTTTTTTAAATGTCGTTATTACACTTTAAAAGCCAAGCAGGGATAAACTGCAAAAAAGTATAGATGCGACTGTTTGCAAATAGTTCACCTGTCATATACAAAAACATATGAAAGTTAACATGCACATTTGAATACTAGTATTAGACATAATAGACCATGAAATTTTAAATATATCTCAAATTCATTGTCGGTATGTATACCGTATATATTCGCCTATAAGTCTGTCCGCCTATAAGTCGGTTGCATTTTTGAGGCTATTTTGGAAGGATTTGCCTTTGACCCACTTGTAAGTCGGTACAACTTTTAGCCGGAATTTGGTGCTAATTTGAATTCAATGTTGTAATATATTTGCCTGCGATATGTTTTTTTTTATTGTTAAGGACGCCGATTATTTTATTGAAATTGTTTTTTTAACAACAAAAAATTCGTATCAATACTCTTATGTATTCACCTTTGTGAAAAGATTATTTTTGGATATGATTTTCATTATTCAACCAACAAAATAGCTGCTTTATTTTATTTACCTGGGTACCTTAGAAGTATTTTGATTTTAGAGTGATTTCCCTTGTATTGTAAATGTATATTTTGTACACCGATCCTGATATTTTTCTACTATGCCCTGTCTTTAAAAAAAAGAAAAGCATATGTCCAAGCCATCTATTAGCAATTATTCTTCATTTACCTACCTTTACGGGTAAACAATTATCGTCTCTTATTTACCTAATATGTCTCTTCCCTGACACTGTATTTATTTAGTGGCACGTCTTGAGAAAACTGCGTAACGGTTATTAAAAAGAATTAATTTCATAAACAATTGAGTTTTAATAGTCAAGAAATTGAACTATTAAAACACAGGGTTCTCCATGGGCTGTTTTACTGTGTTGCTCCCGACACAGTAACGATTCAAATTTCATGCATGCGACACAGTAAAAATTTTGCCGACACAGTAAGAGTTGTGATAATTAGAAAATCTAAACACACAAATTCTCTCTAGTTGAAACTTTAATCAAACAATTCTACCGTTTTTGAATTCAAAAAGTTGTAACACTTAATTACTAGGGCTTCACTTTGAGTAATCAATCAATTATCTCCTAGACCCTCGCCGAACTTTACGCATGACTGAACAAAGACAAATGAATTGTTTTCACAATTCAATGTACCGGTTAATTGGTAGTTGCAATAAAATACATTGTACTATTTATGTAAGATATTTAAATAAATCTTTCCTACAGAGCCACGGGTCTAGAATTATGTAAGTCAAACATAACATCGTACCGAAGTCATTTAATTGATGTAAATAAATTGCCGAAAATTTTGAAATTTCAGCATGTTCAAGGAACTCTTTAAAATATTTTACTGTTATGAAGTTCCTTTTTTTATAATGCGGTAACTCGATCAAGAAACCTGATAAATAAACACGGCAAATCTACTTTCAAAGATGTTAAGTAGTTAGAATTTCCTCTGCTTTTCAGAACTTTTTCCCCCTTTTATCAGTATGTACGACCATACCATTTGTGTAACGAATTAGCAATTTTTAAAAAAGTGTGTGCTTGAAATCTTTTATAATTTTAATGAATTGTGATTCAGTTGCGAATTTGTTCGCGAAAATACAGCGAAATATTAGTGCTTCGCGTAAACTCTGCAACACAGTAAAATCTCAAATGATGGAGAACCCTGAAAATGAAATATGTTTTCAAAGTTATTTTTAATATGTACATGTATATAAATCATCGTACATGAAATGCTGATTGGCATTAAATCGGGTTTGCAGTTCAATTTTACCGATAAACGATAGATTTACAGTGCAGTATCGTATGTTACAAGTGAAGAGGTTAACTAAAGTAATAGTTATGTAAATAATTACAGAAAATACCAATAAACACACAAAAAACTATTAAATTGTATAAACAGATGTACCTTATGCATAGTATTGTTATAAATAAAAAATATATCATATGTCCTGACGGATGGCAGGGCTATTCTTCGGCGTTGTTCAAAAATACTAAATTATGCCTTCAAGAAAATTACCAATTTTTTGATGACTCGCCTATAAGTCGGACATAGATTTTTGGACCAAAATTACCCCCCCCCCAAAAAAAAAAAAAAAAAAACTGACTCATAGGCGATAATATACTGTAAATTGTCAATTAAGAAAAAAGTTTAATTCAAATTCAAAACAAGTAACAAACTGTAATTTTCCTATCAATGTATACATAGTATATATATTTACAAGCATTTGGATTTAAGTAATGATAGATATAAAAATAGTCTTAAAATTAGGTTTTCTCTACATAGTTATGGCTGTACCATCAACGCCCATTGTTATTGTGCCAACACAAAGATGGGGGAATTCAAAAATCATCCCAACAACGTCAGACAACATTAAACCACAGGGATTAGAGAGGGTCAACATCAGTGAAGCTTCAGGTGAAGTAGCTAGTGTATCATTTGTATATAAAGAGTTATTCACAATAAAGTATATTCAGAAAATAATAATAATTATAAAATAATAATAAACATGACAGTTTTATGTTTGCATTTATTTATAATATATTTTCCTTTTAAATTACATTCTAACAATATTTTTTTGTAGGGGGGGGGGTTTCTCAGCAAGAACCTTTTAGATAGAATATCTTAATGACAGTTGTCATTTAAATAAATTTAAAATTACAAATGAAACAAAACTCAGTTAGATAAAACTGCTCAAAATAGATTAAAAAAATAGAATCATGAAAAATTATTTTAAGAATGGAAGGATGTTTAGATTTATTGATTAATTGATTGACTAAATAGTTGCATGTTTTTTAACATCCAATTCGAGAAATTTCAAATCAAATACATGCGTCACGGTATGTCGTTGACGGGGTTGTACTTTAGCCTGACACACAGGGCCATTAAGCACACACTAAGCACATAAAGAATAAGACCAGTAACTCTCGCTTCTAATGTCGCTCGATGGGCGGGGGAGCCTACTTTACTTTTCCTTAAGTCTTACGTAGAGAAGGATATGGAAATATGAAACATTAATCAATATCAGAGTCCATAAAACAATACAATTAAAATTAGGAGCAGAGCAAACACAAACCTCCCAAACATCAGAGGTGGGATCAGGTACCATGGAGGAGCATCCCTGCTGAGCGGTCACAAGCGCCATGTGCACCTTGTCATGATCGGTAAATAATGGAAAAATCCGTCGTAAATTCAGAGAATAAATAATGGACTAATAATCAGTATTAGAAACGTCAGTCAACATTTGACTCAATGCGAAATTGTATTTTCTGACAAGGTGTAATGGACGAGCAAGCAGCGAACGAGATTCGAACCCTGATCGTCTGATAACAAAGCGACAGTACTACAGTGAAACTTCTCCAAACCGGCCCCCCTGGAAACCGGTTCTCCCTGAACATCGGCCACATTTAAAAGTCCCAGCAAAATTCTTAACATTTCTTTACACATAAACTCTCATAAAACCGGCCACCCCTGAAAACCGGACACCGGCCACTTTTCCAAGAACGAAAGTTAAGAAGCATAGGAAATTTCACCTCATCATACCGGACACTTTTTGATTGCAAGAAAATTAAATGTCATTGGCCAGAAGGGTAATGATGACCGGCCGGAGGTGTAAAAATAACCTACCCACAAGAAGTCAAAGGTGTGAAAAACTGAATATGGCCTCATCGAGTTTTCTATTGTTTAGCCGTCTTGAAGGGGTAGTCATCGTGCCAGACTACGTAAATGGCTTGTTTAAGCTGAGTACAAATGATTAACATCAATTAAACTTGAATTAATAAAATATCAAGCAACTAATAAATTTCAATCACAGAATGAATCAACAAATTATCGCACGCCATATTTCATCATTTTTTAAATACACACAAGCGGCCTTAAAATTGGGCACTGTTTAATAATGCTGAGAAAAAAATAAAATAAGACGTTAACCAAAATATACATTTCATAATTAAAATAACAGAAATTTTGCTCAGAGATGTTTTAATTATTTACTTTTAACTGAAGTACAAACATTTTTTAATGACGTAAACGATACACAGATCTGTATAGAGTTCAGTTAGGGTAAAGTGTCCGGTTTATTTCTTCACATATGGTTATTAAAGTAACTTTCCATGTTTTTTGTGTTCTTATTTTCTAATTTCTTCTTACATGTATAAAAATCAACATGTATGTCGAATATATCCTCACTAATGATAATTTCTTCTTTTTTTTTAACCTTAAGAATACATTACGTGTCTGCCAATATATAAATAACATGTTGACAGATAATAATTACAGACACCAATTATATATTTTTCCTAGCTCTACATTTCTTCAGTATGTTAGATTCTCGGGAAACCGGCCACCCCTCTAGTCCGGACATTTTATTCAGTCCGGGAGCTGGCCGGTTTAGAGAAGTTTTACTGTACCACTAGGCTACCATGACCAGTTAAAATATATTAAAAGTTAAATACCCAGAAACTATATAATAATAATAATAATAATAATAATAATAATAATAATAATTTATTATAGTGACTTATGTAATACGACAAAATATTATAATATATCTCAAATATAAAGACTGGAACGTTACACCCGGCCCTTTGGGCCTATAAGTCACCTGCATTTAAATAGTACATTTCCCTTAAGGACTAAATAATTATTCATTCTACTCACACTGCATGAAAAGTCGGGTTTAATTTTACCTTAAATGCGATTTAAATGATGCGATTATTTAATGTTTAAATGCATAATATAACATATTGTGGGATCGTAAATGTTAGAAAATAATTAGCATTTAATACGAGTTTAATGAACAATTAAAAGAACAAATTTAATAAAGTTTGGAAAATTGTAAACTTACTTATACGTTCAGATTTAAATCTGCCGTAAACAAATATTATACCTCTAATATACAAAAAATATAATTATTATCAAACATGCCAATAAAATAAAGTTTTATGGACATATTAAATTTGTTCGTTTAATGAAATTTAACGTAGATCTTTACCTCATTATTTTTTGTTAAATTTACACTTTACTTCATAATACTTCCAAAAATTCAGTTATATACGGAAAATTGTAAACTTACTAATACGTTCAAATGTTATTCTTTCATAAACTAATATTAAATCTCTTGTATATGTGATGAAAATGTACGGATTAAACCTTCCTTTATCATTAAGATTTAAGGTTGTATTTGATGAAATTTAATATCATTATATTATTGCATATTATTTATATTTATTCCATCAATAATTTGTATGGTTTACAGTTGTTGGTTTTTGGCAAGTATTTTACAATCATACACAAATTCATTTCTCATTCAATTTTATTACGTTATCTCAAGGGTGTACAAATAATGAGTTCTAAAAAGTACAAGATATTTCAAATTTATGCCTAAATGTCAAAATTTAAAAAAATTACAATCATGATTGTAGCTCAATTATAATGGATTAAATTTTTACATACTAGTAGTAAGTAATAAACTGAGGTAATTATAAATAAATTAATATAAGAATAGAATTGTGTGTAAAATTCAAATCTGCATTAAATCAGAACACAACAGGTAAAAAATGAAGTCATTCTGGACTCTAAAAGACTGCAAAATCTGTGACTGAAACTGACCCTATTAAAACTGCTCCATGGGTTGCATGTAAATGGCTTTTCAATTTCCCACAAAAAATTAAATCATACTTTGCATAAAAAGAATAAAAGTTGCCAATAAAAGTTGTCCATTCTTTTTACATGTACATTTAATAAGACACACTAAGCCACTGACAGAGAAGCCTCACTCGCCCACAAGCAACAGCAAAAGGATCGGTCAGAGATACCACCTTTCTCTTACTTGGGTATCAAGATCTGCAACTTACTGCCAGCAAAGTTCTTTCAGACCACCCTTTTATTGTTCCCAAGGTATTTCCATAATAGATGTCCATGCACTAATTATTCAAGTTAAGACTGTGAAAAATACAATAACCAAAAAATCTTGTATATCATTTGGTTATGTCAATTCAAATTAAGGAAAAAGTATCACAATTACACAAAGCAGCTTAAATTTGTTTCCAATACATGTAGCCCATTTCTGTTCCAACTGCTAGGCATATTGCTTGATGATTGTAACTTATTTAACATATCCTCATTAAATCAACTTTACTTTAGAATGCCAGACATTTCAATAGTGATATTTTTAACTTTGCCTTAAAATATCAAGGATGAGCTCTGAAACATGCACATATTAAAGTCCTCAGAAATGTCTCTACCTCATTTGCCTATTCTATTTTTTACATCTATGACTCACTAAGCCACTGACAGAGAAGCCTCACTCGCCCACAAGCAACAGCAAAAGGATCGGTCAGAGACTCCACCTTTCTCTTACTTGGGTATCAAGATCTGCAACATACTGCCAGCAAAACTTTTTCAGACTACCCTTGATTGTCTTATTTTTTTCCACAATAATGTCCATGCACTTATATTCAAGTCAGACTTGTACATATATGTAATATATAAATCAAGATATAAGTGTATGTAATTGCATACTACACAATAAATCAATAAATGTTTAAACAATAAAAAAACCATAACAGTTTTAATCTATAATCAAGCATCATAGAAAACTTTCACTGTCAAAAAAATGCAACACTAGGTATATTTTTCTTATCTAACATTGAATGTGTCAATTAAAAATAATTCTAAAAAAGCATCAAATTTTTGCAAAACAGTTGCAACTCAGATATTTTTCATCTCTAATATCCCATCTCTGTTCAATTACTACATCCATAGGTTTGACTCTTTTAGATTCTTTATTTGTCCTAGTTCTTCTTATGCTCTGCCTTTTAGAGTGCTTTGATTTGAGAGTGGCACTGTTGGTGTCCTGTTCTTTGAAGACTTTCTCACAATCATCAGAACGCCACGTCAGTTTTCTAATTTCATAGAGAGTATCATCTTTGGAATCATTTTTTGTACTATGAAGACGCAATCAATATTTAAATCTGCTTCTTCCTGCTTTTTCCTCTCTTCTTGCCCAGAGGTTTTCAGCTCTGGAGAAGCACATCTAGCTCCTAATTTCTACAACAAACATAAAAATAAATACCTATTTGTCTATACATACATATTATATGTGTGCTTCTGGATTTATGCAATTGCATATATTAAATATTACACAAAATCTGAGTTGATTGTAAAATTATCAATTGACCTAGAGGAAACACAGCTCAATTTTAAGTAATTAAAAAATTTACAGAAGACCACAAAAGACTATGCCATTTTTTCAAGTCTGGGTAATAAAGACAGATACTTAGCTATAATTTCAGGCATGTGAGCTACAGTTGAAGCTAGTGTTGATAAACATGTAAATTGGGGACTAATGATTTTTTGCCGTCTTTTTTTGAGTATTTTACCACTATGTTTACCTGCTTGACATTGAACATGTTGAAGTGCACTTTTCTCTGTTCCTTCACAATAATTCTTTCATTTAGCAGCAAGATACAATGAATGAGGTAAAAAGCTGTAACAAACAAAATATGAAAAATTAATAACAGGTATGGCTTTCCGTACAAAGAATATATAAAAAAGGAGAAAAAATATACAAACAGGGTGTACTTATGACTAACATGACTAAAGCAAGAAAATAGCATTTTACACAATGAAAAAGATTCTATGTGTCATTTAGTTAAGTGAATTACATAAAAACATATAGATATGTATAGATAAAATTTATAAGACGACAAAATATGACATGAAACATACATAATGGTACCATAGTCCAAGCACATGGGATTTGAAGATTTACAAAGTTTACGAAAATGCAAAGAAAAGCATTTACAGCATTTAACATATAAAGACATACATATCTATAGTTTCACCCCAGCAACCCACAGATTTTGTGGAAGTACATGTAAATTGGGCATTGGTGACTTTTCGTCATTTTTTTTTAGCAATTTATGAATGTATTTTACCTGCTTGACCTTGAATATGTTGAGATGCGCATCCCTTTTCTTCGTGTTCCTCCACGACATTTTATTCAATTTAGCAGAAAGATACTGTTGATTAAAAAAAATATGAACAATTAAAAACAGATATGGCATTTCATAGAAAAAATATACAAACAGATGTATTTATGATTAGAGCAAGTAGATAACATTCATACAATAAAATCCTTAAGTGGTGGCAATCTCATACACAATAAGTTGTACAACAAATGATTAGTACGTACCTCATACTGGGTAGCCAAATATCTGGTTAAGTCACTTTCAGAAGGAAGGCTCAGCAAGTTCAATGTTGATCATTCCCATAGCACTTCAAACTTTTCTGGCACAATATCTGAAAGAACAGATGTATCTTGCATGGTTTTTTGTTCAAACTAGGATTAATTCTGATGAATGTAATAAAATTTGAAAAGTTTATAGATGACAGACGAATACCAGACACAGATCAGAAAACTCGCTCTGGTCTTAAAATGGCTCAGGTGAGCTAAAAAAATCAATTCATGTGCTTTTATTGATCTTATCAGAAAATTTAAGAAATCTTACCTTTGTGTTAATCTTCATACTGCTTTTGTCATTTCTTGTGATCATTTAGATTCCTGTAAAATAATGCATGCATAATTGTGCATCATAGAATATGATAGCTATTTTTAATAATCATGCTTATTAAAGTATAAATTAACATAAGAAAACTTATGCATAGCTCAGAATCCATTGCTTTTTGTATTTTTAGGATAAGGAATTAAGAATATAGGCCTAAACTTCATCTTGTTTACTTGGTATATATAGCATTTCAAGTTATTGCAGTGTTTTTATAGTCTTATGCTAAAAGATACAAGTTAATAAAAACATTGTTAGGCTATTTGTGTTAATTGAAAATTAGAACTGCATGGTTCTCACCATTTTCACAAGCTGTCCACATAGCCGGCGCTGTGGGGAATCGCCTCAGGCAGTCACACAATCCGCTATTTCACAAGCTGTCCACATAGCTGTGGGGAATCGTCTCAGGCAGTCGCACAATCCCCTAGTGCTGAATATAATTTTGAGTATGCATTAAGAAATAAATATATATTTTATTACATTGTACAACATACTCTGTAAATGCTGAACAGAGGAATACTAAAATTCTGGAACCAATCCCAAAGGAGGAAATTCTGGTTAAAATCCATCTTTATGAGAGATGCCCAAGTGAAATTGTTTTCAAACAAATCACTCACAAATTGCCTACAAATTACTTTAAAATCACTTTTAAGTGATTTGTTTCAGTGATATGTAAGCAATTTATTTAACAAATCATGCTTAAATCACTTTCTACTAAAATGATGACTATGATTTGCTTACAATTTGTTATAAAAGGGTGATTTGCTTGTGATTTCTTTCCCATTTCAAACAATTTCTGAGTGATTTGTTAAACTTAGGAAATTTTTACAGTGATTTCTTCATGATTTGTTGAACTTAGCCATTCTTCAAGGTGATTTGAACATGATTTCTGGAACTTAGTCTTTCTTCAGAGTGATTTGAAGATGATTTGTTAACTTAGTCTTTCTTCAAAGTGATTTGTAAATGATTTGTTGATCTCATGGCCCTTCTTCAGAGTGATTTGAGAATGATTTACTTCATAACTTCCGCCTGGCTTGCTGATTGGTCAGTATTAGAAACTCTACCGCCAATTTTCATTAATCAGATTTGAATTGAAATGAAAGGAGCTACATTGTGCTTTTCTAGATTCATACCTCTCTTCTTTTGTTGAAACTGATGTTTTTTCAATAATCATGCAGAATATAGTTTTAAGGTATGTATAACTGTATTATGCTATCATTTCCTCTTGAGATTCAGTTAATATATTCCCTATGTTCACATGCAATTTATTGTTCTTCTACCAACAACAAAGTCGGTGGCTATCAATGTTTTAAACAAAATCTATGTAAAGCTATAAGCTTCAGAAAAGTACTGGCTTTTTCAAAGTGTCTAGACAAATATGTATTTCAGATAAGAAAACATTTACCAACTTCTAAAAGTCAACAATTAATGCTTATATATCATATTCTGAATTTGGAGCCAAGTACATGTGTATATATCTAAAATACATGATGCCATCTTAATGAGGACACATCCTAGTAAAAGTTTATATTCTAAAATACACTTGCCAAAAGTTTTTTGTTCATATACAACAAATACCGGTATGCATGCATGTGTGTTTCAAATATTTAAGGGATGGTTATATGAGCATCCCATACACACGTGTGTAACCACCTGGAGTGATTTGAAAGTGATTTGTTAAACTGAAGTGATTTGTTTGCAATTTATTTGAAATGATTTGTTTGCAATTTATTTGGAGTGATTTGGTTGCGATTTGTTCAACAGAAGTGATTTCTACACGATTTACTCTCAGTGATTTCGTTGTGATTTCAGGGTGATTTGCTTACAATTTGTTAGGAGTGATTTGTTAGCTCATTTGCATGGGAATTTGCATCACTTACAAATCATCTTCAAATCACTGATTCATTAGTGATTTCTTAGAGTGATTTGTTTGAGGATTTTTTTCACTTGGGTGTTTAAAAGTGTTAAATAATAGCGAGCGCAGCGAGGCGGCGCGAAGCGCCGCTCGCGTAGCGAGCTCAATAGACTTACGTGTACGAACGGAGGAAATTCGGGTTGAAATCTGCACATTGATCCAAGAAATTTTTATGAGTCCACGTGAAAACATTCTTCAATCCCAATAGTCCTTTGCGGTGCATAGCAACATGGTGGCTAAAACATAGCAACAACTTACTTGAAAAAAATTACAAACAACGATTTAATGCAACCTCCATGCCACAAAACTATCGTTTGCGTTCTAACTCAAAAGGACTTTTTATTTGACGTCATACTTTCGTCACTTAACGGCTCGGGTATTTCCGATTTTGTCGGAAACTTCCGAAAAGTTTGGAATCTCGATCCCGATGCGTTGGAAGTGATTTTTCTTCTTTTTTGATGAACTGAGGATAGGCAGTGCAAGTTAAAGTTGTGTAAATGTTTTCGAAAGTAAATATAAACTGCGCTCGCCCCAACGGTCGCACCGTAGAACATATTAATTACAAAATTTAAATAGCGCTTGCCCAAACGTTTTTACTGCCAGGCATTTTATGTGTAGTGCCTAGAACAGTAATATTATCAGTAGCAGAAGCAATTATTCATTCAAGGACACATGATAAAATTTCGTACATTGTAACTTGTTCCTAACCGTTATACAGGGTCGTAATTGTCTTCATCTTCTGTTAAAACAGAAATTCCATCCAAAGTTAATCATGCTTCTTCTTTTCGTGTAACTCTCTTTCGCCCCTTTGTCCCATACAACATCATGATGAAGTTCAACATGGCTGCTCGGAACACTCCAAAAAATTGAATTTCGGCGCGGTGTGTTGTTTTTAAATTAATTGCTTTTCGAGCCCGACTTCGATCCCAATGTAATTGTACTACATTAGTAGTCGATAGGGAAAAAACTAAGTTATATTCCACAGTTTTGAAAAATCTACAAAAGGATTAAATAATTAAAAATGAGAAATGAATTTAAAAAAAACAAAAATAAATAGGGTGCCGAAATATTATTTTTCAAATATGTTTCAACATAAGTTTACATTAAGTATAAAGAATTATTTATGACATATCTTTATACCAAAAATATACTTAAACTTTAAGTATAAGCATATTTACTTTTACATGTCGATATTATTAAACGAAAGGTATAATCTTCTTAATTAAACTATATTATTCTCGACGTATTTTGCATTAAATATGATTATACTTATTTGAAAACTGTAGTTAATTATATCACAATATATCTCATGTAAAATGTACCGTTATACATAAATTAAATTCAAAACAAGGAATTTACTGGAGTAAACGAATTTATTAAATTATATTAAACGCAACTTTTCGTGCAGTGTCAATGTGACGGAACTGTGACCTTCTAGATTTTTCAAATCTAGATAATTTTTTTATCAAATCTTATATTCAGTTGCGATTCAAAGTGATGTTTAGGAACTGTTTCGATACATTTATGTTACATATTAAGGTAGTCCGATCCATAGGTTTATTAAATTAGCAATTAAGTAATCAAAAATAATCATAAAAGTATCTCTGAATCCACAAGATTATGTAAATTTATCCGAGGTAATTTCTTTAAAATTAAAAATTTTTTAATCATAATATATGGGAAAAATTTTCAAATCTCTAATATATTTGCAGAAAAAAGCGAATTGGAATACCATCAATGAATTTCTTCTAATTGCAAATTGATCAACAAGTGTATTTTAGGTTAAAAAAAAACGATAGGTATTTTAGGTAGGAATTTTATTATACCTTTAACAATTTCATATCCAAATCTATGCGGAAAAGTCCAACTTTTCTAATGATTTTACTGAGCGGGCATTAAAAAATTGATCCCTGGCCGATGAGTGAGTTATTGAACCTGTCGCTGAGATAGGCGGAACATTGATGAACCTGCAGTTTACTTCACGGAAGACAGTACAGGATACAATGATCTATGTTGAAATAAAATACATTTATATAAAACAAGAGGCCCAGGGGCCACAGCGCTCACCTGAGAACATCGGGCTTGAATTTACTCCCCCCCCCTCCAGGCATTCATCATTTGAACAAACTAGAATCTGCACTACCTGAGGATGAATCCATATAAATATCACTAATCATAGCTTTGAAGTACTTGAAAAGAAGATTTTAAAAGGTTTCCCTATATATTCCTATGTAAAACTTGGGTCGGCCATTTTGTCCCCACCCTTGCTCCGGGGGTCATGATTTGAATAACTTGAATCTACACTACCTGAGGATGATTCCACATGAGTTTCATCTTTCCTGGCCCAGTGGTTCTTGAGAACAAGATTTTTAAAGATATTTCTGATGTATTCCTATGTAAAACTTGGGTCGGCCATTTTGGCCCCACCCTTGCCCCGGAGGTCATGATTTGAACAAACTTAAATCTACACTACCTGAGGATGATTCCACATGGGTTTCATCTTTCCTGGCCCAGTGGTTCTGGAGAAGAAGATTTTTTAAAGATTTTTCCTATATATTCCTATGTAAAACTTGGGTCGGCCATTTTTGGCCCCACCCTTGCCCCGGGGGTCATGATTTGAACAAACTAGAATCTACACTACCTGAGGATGCTTTCACACGAGTTTCATCTTTCCTGGCCCTCCGGTTCTGGAGAAGAATATTTTTTTAAAAATGCCATTAATTTTTAACAAATTAATGATTATCTCCCCTTGGAAAAGGGCGTGGCCCTTCATTTGAACAAACTTGAATTCCCTTCACCCAAGGATACTTTGTGCCAATTTTGGTTGAAATTGGCCCAGTGGTTCTTGAGAAGAAGATGAAAATGTGAAAAGTTTATGACAACAACGACAACGACAACAACAACAACAACGACAACAACGACGACAGACAACGGACAAATTTTGATCAGAAAAGCGCACTTGAGCCTTCGGCTCAGGTGAGCTAATAAAAGGTATAACAACACAATTATTGGCTGTGTTCTCGGTAAATTGCATTTCTTCGACTTTCGAACCAAAACATTTCCTCGTTATAATGATTTATGTTATGCATGAGTAGAAATCTGAAATAAATTTATTTGAAAAAAAAAACTAATGTAGACTGTTTTTAACATTATATTATAAAATTATCTATAAAGCGAAAGATTTTCTTCATCATTTTCACATATAAGTTACCTTAAATTCATTGGATATTTTTTTTTATTAGATATTGTCTCAGTGATAGGAAATTCCCACCTTTTGCAGACGAATGAAGCTTTTAATGTCAGTTGCAGAATAACTGGACATAAGCAGGGATCTGCCGTTAACGATACATCTGTTGGATGGCTATTTAATGGTCAAAGGATTTCATATCTAAGAATGGTTTCCAATGCGAATAAATATAAATTGCATGTAAAAACTACAAATATGTATTTGGAGGTTGGCTTGGAAATACCAGGTATTTGATACGCTTTCAACGTCTTTTTTAGTTTTCTTGCAGAAATTGATTAAATAACATAATAGGGGACTATGTCTGCTTTTATTGTTTCTTGGAATATATGTGTAGAACCGATTTCCTTATGTAATTGTTTTATTTAAACGTGTCCTATAAATTTTTCCTTGTTATATGTATACATGAAAGAGACTTGCTTTCAAAATTTAAGCTTAAATGTAAGGTATATTTACTGATGTATATTACAATTTTTAAATATTTGGTAGGCTCAGTAGAAATATAAATTTATAAACTTTTTTTGAACTAGCTGTGACTGCAGAGGATACTGGAAATTATACTTGCGTTTTGGGAGACAGAGCCAACAAGAATCGTATTCAAGAAAAGTCATGGTACCTAGATATTATTTGCATGGACTGCAGCCAAACAATAGTTGGATAGAATATCTGTGTTAATGTATGTAACAGAAATGTTTAAAAAGCCTGGAAGTGTCTTGTGCAAAACACGTCGAACATTTTGGAGTACATTTATCAATTTGACACAGATTGTTAACTATTCAAGATGTAAGAAAGAATAAAAATGAAAATAAAATGTTGAAAATTAATCAAAAAGGAAATTTTTATTTCTTTTTTTTTACTTCTTGAAAATATTTCTGAATTGAGAATATCGTTACTGTTCTTTCAATGAGTGCTCAAATTATAAAAAAAAGCACGAAGAATTGTTTATTAAGCATAGGAACGCTTTGGTCTGAGAAGGATCTATCGCTTCAATTGTGCTCCTTTTACTGGCCTGATAATATTTTTCTAGGGAAGCCTGTATGTATATATGACGTCATGCTTCTTATTTTTTCAGTTTGTTGTCATTTTTATGGATGACCAATTGAGCCATTCTTGAACCTCTTACAAACCTTTCAGAAATATTTCATGATGGTACACATTTTCTTATTCTCCGAATCAAGGGATGTAGATATCGAAAGGTAATTGTTCGTAAATGTAGAAATGCAAGGAAGCTATGTATTCTGTATGGTTATTGATTGATGAGATGATATTTCGCTGGTTAACGCCCCGTTGAAAAGTTTTCACACATACTGTTGATAAGAAAGTCACCATCTACCGAAGAAGGCCTTGAACTTGAAACCTATGCTCAGAACTTAGGTCCAGTAAGTAGTTCAGGCTTTTATCACAACAGCTTATTGTAATTGTTATAAAAGACCTGTTATTGAGGTTTCATAAAAAAAACAAACAAACAAAAAAACAAAAAAATAAAAAAAAATAAAATAAAATAAAAAAAAAATATAAAAAAAAAATAAAAAGAAAACGACAATTTAAAATCTAAAATTTTCACACTTTATGGACTGTAAATAGCAACAAATATGATATAAACCGAGAAAACAATATATTCTTGAAATTGTTGATGGATTCCGGGTTATGGACATACATACACAATCATGTACTAATCTGCTAATATTTTGTCTTTGTGAAGCCATTCAATTTGAAGTCCTCTGGTCGCCAAGATCTACGATTTTGGGGGCTTAGAAGACTTTCAGACTTTATAAGTCTTATGCCCTATGAAAGAAATGTATGAATATTAAATTTACATGTATCTTTCAAAAAATGCATTATATTTAAGGCTCTTTCTTCCTGAGAATTAACAAATTTACTATTCCCTATAAACGTACGTATGACTAACATCTGTGTTTCGATTATATCTCTCCCGGATAAAATTGTAAACTCCCATGGAATCCCCCACTCTCTCTGTGACCAGGGGCCACTTAGAAATGCTCGGTAGTATGCGTTAAACCACCATCCACCCCTATGAAGCTCGGCACAGCTAGATCCCCTCCTATCCTTGTCCCTGTCTATCGTACTAAAGTCCATCCCAGAAAGATTAGCCTCAGACTCAACTGTATTTAACATAGCGTCACCTAGAATTAAAAAAAAAATAAAATGTCAAACGTTTAAATTAGGGAATTACATACTTGTTATAAATTATATACTTTAATATACTCTACTTCATCACCTATAGGCATTGGTAATTAAATATTGCCACTATTAAACAATTTAGTATACAACAACACTAGTTTAGTAAGAACACGGATATTGCGAATTTACAGATATAGCGAAGTCATCTTGAATCCACACTGATATTAATTACCCGGTAAATGGATTTTTTTATACGGTTATAATGAATTATGGATATAGGAAAGTAATTTCATAGGCCCCAGTGATTTCGTTATAACCGAGTTTTGCTGTAATAAAAATAATTACGTTTTTGAAAGGTCAGACTCTAAATCATGATTGCCTCCAACAGCATTACAAGATAAAAATATGAAAATAAAATAAATTAAGAGAGTTGATAAGAATAGTTAAAAACTATTCCCTATAAGTAATTAAATATCTTTTTCACACATGGTCAACGATTTTGACGATACCATTTTTGCAACTTAACACCAAAATTATGAATCATTTAATTTCTATAAAATACTTAGTTCTGATTGGTTTAAAAATTCCTTTGATACCTGCATCAATAAAATCTAGAGTTCGCTTGCACTAAGCAGCCGGAACTACTTTCAATTGGCAGTCTCTATATTTTTATTTCCCGCTTCCAGTCTACTTCTTGAAGGAATAATTAAAAACTTTTACTTTATAAATATTTTCCTGAATTCCGAAACCTGTCCGTTACGTTCCTGACTTATTTTCTACTTTCGTTTCTTTTAGAATTATCCCCCTTTGCAAAACAAATCATAACGTTCGACAATACAGTTTTGGGAAAGAAGAAAAGAGATCGGCATACTTTTGTTAAATGTTTGGATTTGAGATATCTGGTATGAACAATAGACTTCTGAAGAAACGTTTTTTTTATGCTACCAAAGAGAGGAAACCCATTAATCTGTTAAATCTCGGGAAACGAATGATCGAGAAAAAACGACACTGCATTCATGAATGAGGACAGATTCTTTACTATAATCTTAAACAGTCTGCAGCAGACTATTTCAGGTTTTACAGCATTGACAGGTTGTGATGCGTATTTATATGTTCGGTTTGAAATTCAGATGAAAAGATGTGCAAGTGAAATCCAAAATTTCTGTGACCTAACGTTGGAACTTGGAACTGTTAGGATATTTTGAGTAGCTTCCCTTTACATATACGAACTTGGATAACTTACCGGGTAAAATAAACCGATATGGATAGCACAACAGGTAAGTTTTTTGTGTTAAAGAACTGTAAATTATTTCAGAGAATGTTGGTAATGACACGAAAATATTTGAGAACGTTTCTTCGTTTGAGCCATTTTGAATTTCATCAACGTTAACGTTGTTATGATGTATTCGTGCGCACTGTTTTAGATGCGTAAATTCAATAGATTAGGTGAAAGAAAGTTTCATTTTATTAATTTAAAATCATAATTAAATGATAAGAAATGAATGTAATATTTTTTCCTTTGATCGATGTATCAAAGAAAAATTTGGACGGAAAACTTTTTCATCAATGCGCTACACGCATTGATGAAGTTTTCCGTCCAAATTTTTCTTTGATACATCGATCAAAGGAAAAAATATTACATTCATTTCTTAAATCAAATAAAATTCGGTTGCTATGTCTCTTTTGTACTATTGTTACAGCCAAAAAAGTTGGACAAAGTTTTTAGTTCATTTGTATCTTAAATCAAACCTTACTAGAGTAAAGTCAAGTAATTCATAAACATATATCGATTTTAAAAAATGGGATCTACATAAATATATAGATACATGTCAAAGAAAACAAAAAATTCAAATTTTCAGCTTTTAGAAACAGTCATTGCAACTTGGTTAAATTGCTGTAAACGTTAATTATGGTGTTCTAATCATGTTTAAAAATGCAATATTCTAAATTTAAGGACATGTTGCCATGGTATCCTTGGCACATAACACATTGTTTATGTCTGGTTAAAGTTTTCCGTTCAAGTTCTTAGCTCCATTTACTTAATTATAATACAAAGAATGGCTCAACTTCCAATTCGCTAATAACAAAATTCAATAACACCTTTGCAGACCTTACAGAGGGATGATATGCACTTTAAAGAAATAAATGTAAGATGTCTAGAGTGTGTAATAAACCATAACATTATACTTTTATGTAAATTAGTTGAACCTGATTGATAGAGAAACATTTGTTAAAAAAACACTATTTACCGCTGAATAATAGAGCTACGCCCTCCAGCGTAGCAACAGTCAACATTGCTTGACGACGGGTGATATTCCAAAAAATAGCGACTGCGCAAAATTTATGCACGCAATGTTCTCTGGTATATGCATTTGTATAAAACATTCAGTATCATATAATAAGTATTGCATGTAGTCGAATGTAACATTGAGAATTTTCACCCCTCAAAAACCATTGTCAATCTCGGCTGCGCCTCGCTTGACAATGGTTTTCTTGGGGTGGAAATTTTTAATATTACACTCAACGTCATGCAAAATTCATACATAAATTCTAAAAGTAACGTTTTGAAACATTTACGTTCAAATATTTACAGCTTTGCAATGTTATTTGTGTCACACTTGTTTTTGAGTTTTGAGTTTATTTTTAGAGTAAACCCTCTTTAACCCATTCTCTATCGTTCCTGTGAGGTTCTCATTCAATTTATTAACTACCTAATAATCCTGTGGCAGATCCTCCAAGAAAGAGCTGATAATTTTCCGCTTCGTCAGAAATGTAGAATCGATGGTACATCTCAGTCAGCGTCCTGCCATCCATCAGTGTGACGGAAATATACAACGACGAACCATTTCCCTTTGTTAATTGATTGATCACGTCATTTCCTGTTTTAAGTATATTTGAAATTAAAAAATGATTTTTTTTTGGCAAAACAAAATAATTATTCTTTATTCGCAGCACAGTTAAGGTTACAAAAAGGAGGTGGAGCCTAATTTGTACCGGAAAATGACTATGACATCATACACAATATACGTCATAAAGCATTTCTTTAAAATACAACAAAATGAGTTTATCTGCTAAATAAATTTAACCAGTACGAAATCATCAAACTACATAAAAACTTACTACAGCGTGTTGTTTTGCAGATAGATTAATCCCACATAACAAGTTATAAACAAGTCACTGCTCGCAATACATTTCTTACAACGTGACGTAGTTTGTATGCAGTGAGAAACAGATCAAGTAATATTTTCTCAACGAAATATGTATTCTCTAATGAAATAAAATATTGTTTACAGATATTCTATGGGCCAATAACTTTAATTTAATGTCTTCTTCACTATTTTGTTAATATATTTTCTGTATATTACGTATTTATTTGACACTGCCGTATAATTGTATGCAAGTACATCGGAGAGTAATGTGGGGGGTCTTAATAAATCGATCTAGTGCAAGGGCATACACTTTATGGATCAAAGTAAGCTTTTACATTTCAAATATAGAACTATTAAGGTATCTGAAAAGTGCTGCGATCCTGATGAAATCTTAAAAACAATTTGGTTATATCAATATTTCATGCCTCTGACCAGCAAAAATTATATAGCATTCGGTCGTACAAGTATAATTTTAACAATGAAATTCAAGAATTTAGACAGGATCGCAG